CTTAGAGATCATCCAATATGAGTTCCTCAGAGTTATTAAGTAGCAAAAGTAGAACTTAAACCTAGATCTCCTGCAGAGCTACAAGAAGCAATTTTTGCACCTGGAGCAAGCAATTTAAATGCATCTGGGCCTAGAGGCATAAAATATGCTCTCAGATTAACTTTGAAGACAAATTCAGTTGTATAGGGAGAAGACCTGGAAGGCACTGCCTCTCCTTGAGTAAACAGGGAGATAAGGTTGGGCAGATGGGGGAAAGAGGAAGCACCATCTGGTAGCTTTGTATTTTTAACGTATTATTCTTGTTAACTAGGTGTTAACCTCATCCCCTCCTCCTCATATTTATGAAGGCCTGGAAATGCTGTCAGCACCTTTTAATTTCAAATATTTAATTTGTTTTCCAATGACATCTAAAAAGTTTTCACATTCTTTTTTTAAACTTTGAGTTCCAAATTCTCTCTGCCTTTTCTCTCCCTTTATTGAGAAGACAAGAAATGTGATATAGGTTATAGAGGAGCAGTCATGCAAAACATATTTCCATATTAGTCACGTTGTGAAAGAAAACACAGACCAAAAAAAAAAAAGGAAAAGAAAGAAAGTTAAATACAAGTATGCTCCAATCTGCATTCAGACTCCATCAGTTTTTTTCTCTGAAGGTAGATAGCATTTTTCATCATAAGTCCTTTTGGAATTGTCTTAGATCATTATATTGCTAAGCATAGCCAAGTCATTCACAGTTAATCATCATGTAATATTGCTGTTACTGTATACAATGTTATGATTCTGCTCACTTCACTTTGCATCAGTCCATGTAAGTCTTTCCAGGTTTTTTTTTTTAATGCGAGCATCTTTCTTGTCATTTCTTATTGTACATTACTATTCCATCATAATCATATACCACAACTTGTTCCGCCATTCTCCAATTGATGGGCATCTCCTAAGTTTCTAATTCTTTGCCACCACAAAAATAGCTGCTATAAATATTTTTGTACATGTGGGTCCTTTTCTTTTTTTTTTTTTTTAATCTGTTTGGGATACAGACCTAGTGATGCTATTGCTGGATCGAAGGTTTTGCACAGTTTTATATCCTTTTGATTTTAGTTCCAAATTGTTCTCCAGAATGGTTGGATCAGGTCACAATTCCACCAACAGCGCTTTAGTGTCCCAGTTTTCCCACGTACCCTCCAACATTTATCATTTTCCGTTTTTGTCATATTAGCCAATGTAACAGGTATGAGGTGGTACCTCAGAGTTGTTTTAATTTGCATCTCTCTAATAGCACCTTTTAATTTTGATGTCCTAGGAAAAACCTCTAGTTATGGCTTTGACATCCTATTTTACCAGCCAGTGACCTTTTTCTACTACAACTCCCTAACTTGTTTGCTTACTTTACTCCATACTTCCTCATTGATGGGGTGATAAAAAGCACATTTCAGGAAGCTGATGACCAGAAAACTGTTGCAGGTTATCATTCATCTTTTCTTTGCAAAGGTAACTTTTCACAGGTTTGTTTTATTGAAAGTTATTGCAGTTCTCATCAATTGCAATTGCTTCCTGCCTTGTGCTGCAGTCTAATACTTGAGGTTGGAAGAATGGCAAATAAGTTCTTCATTGGGTATTGTTCATTTCTGTCCTCAATGCAAAGAGGGTGGGATTCTTTTTCCACCACTATCTTTACCTTTTTTGCTCCTCTATTGCCTTTGTCTCCCTCTTTCTCTCAACCATAAGTCTGAACTGTCAGGAATGTGTTAATGTGAAATGGAGAGAAAATAAAAGGATTCTTTCTGGGAGGAAAGCTATTGACTTAGGATTGACCCTGGACCAGGAGAATCTTTCAGGTCCCCCAAACACTCCCCTCCACTATTTTTGGTTGCATTGGAATCAAGGAAACATTAGAAATATCTCATAGGTCAGATCCACTGGGCTCAATAAGTTGGAAGTAGAATCTCATAGGATCAAGAAAGGGGATAGAAAAAGCAATGCAACCTAGCCAATGAATGATAAGATTTGGCTTTTTTTGAAGGAACACAAAATCTTACTATTAATCTCTCTAAGCCCCAATTGTCTGATTCCCATATGATGCCAATGGGGAAAGTAAAGCCCAGATTTGGTTGTGATTCTACCCTTTATGACCACAAGGCCATGCAGCAAGTTCAAAGCAGTGCTCTGAAGAGAGCCCAGATAAAATGACTCAGGCCAGTGCTTTTCTCTCCTCCACCCCAGCCAATCTGTGATTTCCTCTCATTTTCATCTTGGATATTTTTCTTATCTATAGATATCTGCTTAGGTTGTAGATCAGAAACACAACTATACTACATGGACAGTGAGTTTGATGCATGAAATATTTCTATGGGCTTCCTTGACTCCAATGCAATGAAAAATGGCTGGGTTGGGGTTGGGGGTGGAGGTGGGATGATATTTAGAGCCACGTGTGGGCCTTCAGTGGCAGCATGATCAGCCCAGCAGAAAAGCAAAGCACCTGCTGTCTCCTGGTATTGAGAAGCTCAGGTCCATTGGATAGTATTGTACAGTTATCAGAAGCTATTTTTCCAGTTAGAAGCTCAGATAGGGAGATACAAGTCTTAGTTTCTTCTTTATTTCTTCATGTTTCTTTTTCATCCTACCCATCTCTCTTTCTCACATTCTCTTTCTTTCCTTCCTTCTGCTAAACTCTCCCTTTTTGGGAAAGGCTGATAAGGAAAAGATAGCATTATGCAGTTGTTAGAAATTTGGAAAAATAATTGAAAATGCTAGCCTATGCTGTTAGAGTTTTCAACATTGTACCATCTCTTTTCGCCGAAACACAGATTTGAGAAGTAGTAGGGACTTTAGGGATCATCTAGTGCAACTTCTTCCCCTTATAGATGAGGGAACATATCCAGGTAGATTGTAACTTTTCCAAGGCCACATAGCTAGGTAGTGGAAGGGCTGGGCCTGGAATATAGGTCTTTTGATACTAAGTCCAGTGTACTTTCAACTACATCTGACTTGACTGCTATTTTTTTTTTGATAGCTTGGTTTTCTGGATAAAATCATGTCTAACTTGCATTCCATGTCTATTCAAAAAGGTGTCATGGGTTTAAAGAAAAGACGGTGTTCAAAAACAGCCTTTGAATTTTGAGTGTAAATTGCCTTAGATAAGACCTGCTTTACCATGTCAAGTAATCCCCTTCTCCCCCTAACCAAGAAACCTGGAAGTTGAACTGATACCATCTCCGTATCTTGTCATCATTGTTTCCTTCACCATCCTATTCCCCTTCTTCTGTCGCCTCAGCCCATGCCAAACTGACAGGGGGGAAACAAGTTTTATTTCAGCTGAGGAAAATAGTGCCAAAGATAACCAGTGTTTACTGATGGAACCCAAACGTTAGTCATAAAATTATACTCCAACTCTTGGATGCGTAACAAGGAAGGTAGTGCCAAGTCCACACAATGTCAACAGAAACTGCCTCCAAGTTTCTGAGCTGCCTTCGTATGAACAAGGTGGCAGCTTTCTGGTTACAAAGGAGGGCTGAGCCCATTAGCATGTGGCACAGAACACTTACTTAGATGCCCTCTTTTCCCTCCTCCTAAAACAGCCTAGAGTAGCTGGGAGAGAAACATGTACAACACAACACAAAACAGAACTCTATGACCTGGATTCCCTTTTTAAAGAAAGAATACAGAATCCTCTTTGGACTATGGTATCCAGGAATGAATATTTCTCTTTTCAAATTCATCCTTTATGTAGCACAAAATAAAAGTCTTGGTAGCTACTCAAAGCACTTGGGGATTTGGGCAAGCTACCCATTAGGGTTAAAAAAGTAAACAATTCTGCTTATGGATGGATGCATGGATGAACTCTGCAATTTAATGTGGCCATTGGTCTCCACCTCTCCGTTAGTTAATTTTTCATTATATAAAAGCTAGTGTTCATAGAAGGGGGTGGGGATGAAGAAGTGTTTATTTCCTGTAGTGAAGATCTTGTGCTTTAGAATACAAGGACTCAAATTGGTAAGGAATGCAATTATTGTGGAGGTTTACTTTATAATAAAGCGTGAGTTAATTAAATAGGATGCCTTTAGTAAGGGGGGCAGAGTTGAAAGGGTTCCACACTTGAGTTAGGAGAGATAGAGAAAAATATCTTGGCTGCATGAAAAACTCTGTTTTCCTTGGATGTAAAGTGGGAATAGAAACTACCTCATGGGTTTGCTGTTGTTATTTGTTTGTTACTTTAGGAAGAAAGCATTATGTAACCCCTAAAGCACTATTTCTTTGTGAGTAGCTGCTGCCATCGTTCCAGTGAAAACATCTTAATATCAATTCAGTTCAGTTGAAGGAGAGGTAGTTTAGTGTATTTATAATCCAGAAGACCTGAGTTCAAATAGTTCCTCAAACACTTACTAGCTATGAGACCATAGACAAGTCCCTTAACCTCTCTGGGCCTCAGTTATCTCACCTATATAATGAGAAGGTTGGACTCATTGACTTCTAAGGTCTCTTGCTGCTGTTAATCTGTGATCCTTAATACATTTAACTTAATACATTTAGTGAGTGCTTACTATGGGACAGGAATTGTGCTAAATGGTAGGGATACAAAGAAAAAAAAATTAAAATGACTCTGTCCCCTAGGAGGCAGCTAGATGGGTCAGTGTATAGGGCACTGAACCTGCAGGTAGAAAGGAGTTCAAATCCACCCTTAAACACTTACTAGCAGCATGACCCTGGGCAAGTCATTTAACCTCTCTCTGATTCAGTTTCCCTACCTCTAAAATAGGAATGATAATGATAATATATTTTTCTCAGAGTTGTTGTCAGGATCAAGTGAAATAATGTGTACATTTCTTTGCAAACCTTACCATGCTATATAAACTATAGCTATGTTCTCTTGAGGTGCATATATAGAGTTATTTAAATATATTATTTATTATTGTCAAATGAGACACTATTTGTAAAGTATATAGCAGAGAGCTTGGCTTATAGCAGGCACTTAAATGTTTATTCCTTTCCTTTTCCCTCCCTAGTATACAGTAATATCCCTGGCAGGGATAGCAATAACAACTGTGGAGGATTGGGCAGGACTATGCTGGTAAATGTTTAATACCTGGCTCTCCAAAAATGCGCACGTGACATACTTTTTAGTTTAATTTACATTATTAACACTTTCTCCGCCACTTACTTAAGCCTAGCCAATCAGCAAAACAAGAAATCAAGTCCTGATTTGTAGCTTTTGCCAGTTTTCCTATGTGTAAATGCACACAATGGAAATTTAACAATCACCTCTCTCCAGGCTGTAGCAATTGGCTTAGCACAGGGTGGGGGAAATGAAAAAAAAAAAAAAGACTTCTAGAGGTATCACCTGAGGTGGGCTTGGAAGAAATCTAGGGATTCTCCTAATTGCTCAAGGAGAGCATACTAGGTACAATGGAAGGCCTATGCCAAGTCAGGAGATGGAATGCTGGGTATGAAGCAGAATATATAGGCCAGTTTGGCTGGAAAGAAGAGTGTTACATACCGTGTAATCAGTCTAAAAAGATAGGTTGGAGCCAGATTGTGAGAACATTAAATGGCAGGCATAGGAACTGATGTTTTATCCTAGAGGTAAATGAGCCACTGAATCTTCTTGAATGGGGAAGTGACATTATCAAACCTGTGCTTTTCAAATACTCTGGTAGCTATGTGGAATATAGGATGCAGTGGGGAAAGACTGGAGGCAGAGAACTCAAGTAGGAGACTATTATATTAGTTCCCCAGCCCTGCTTCAGGTGATGACTAGGGCTTGAACTAAGGTGGTGGCAGGGTGAGTGAAGAGAGAGTGATGGATACAAGACATCTCATAGGGGTAGAATTAAGAAGACTTGGCACCTGATTAGATATGGGAGGTGAGAATAGATCTGCCCCATACCCACCATATCTCTCCCCAGCTATCAAGGATCCTGTGGATCCTTGGCCAAATTTTAGTGTCAACGTTATCATTCCTGGAACGGGTGTGTCCATCAATGGCACTATGACTTCACTTGCCGTCCTACCTGTAGCTTCTCAGCCCAAGACACTTCTCTAAAATTCTCTGGCTAGAGGAGACAATGACTGGCCCTTAAGCAGGATAATTCAATTTAATACATGTTTATCAATCTCCTACTATATGTTAGACTTTTGTAATAAAAGTTGCTATTTATATAGATGTGATGGTTACAGAACTAGTTTACATTCATTATCTTGATTTTCACAATAGCTCTATTGGAGACAGATCATTTATTAACATTCTTAATTTACAGGTGAATAAGCTGAGATTAATAGAGGTGAAGTGACTTTCCCAAGGTCACCCAGAGTAAATGCCAGATGCAGGATTGTTAACAGAGATGTTTTGGGACAGTGATTAGTGCTCCTTCTGTTAGATCATGCAGCATCTACAAGACATACAGCATGTAGACAAAAAGAATTATGGGGCAGCATGGTGTAGTTAGTAGAAGGAGTCCTGAATGAGAAGGACATAGGCTTGAATTGAGCCAATGACACATAACTGGCTGTGTGATCATGGAGAAATGACTTCACCTCTGTAAGTCTCAGTTTCTTCATCTGCAAAATAGAGGTAATAATAGCACTTACTTCAAAGGATTGTTGTGAAGCTCAAATAAAATTATTTGTTGTGAATGCTTTATAAGCACTATATAATGCCTTCAAGCACTATATAATATTAGCTATTATTATTATTTAATCCTCAAAAATAAACTTTTTTACATAGGGTAGGGCTGGTATTATTAGAAAAATGAAGAAAATAGAGGTCCAGTTAATTGACTTGTCTCCTAATTCCTAGTTCATTTCACTTTCCCTAAGCATTGATCAGTTCATCAGATTGTAGAGAGCAGACCTATGAGAATATAAAATAGATTTAGTTCAATTCACTATAACACATGTAAACATATATATGTATATGTGTATGTGTATATACAAATCTCTCTCTATATATATACATATATATGTATGTTTATTATATGCAAGTTACCATGCTTAGCACAGATAATCCAGAGATGAAAAACAACATGGTCACAGTCCCTGTTCTGAAGGAGTTTGCAATCTAGTAAATTCATAACATCATGGAATCTTCTACTTGATTCTGACCTTACACAAATAAGTTAAAAATGATGAATTATTTAGGAAAGGTCAAATAGAGAAGATTGAGAGAATTAAGGGGGAAGGAGTCATTTCTAGCTTGGATTAGGCAATACGTATCAGATCTATTCACTTCATTAATTTGTTCAATGACTATTTAATTAAGAGGCGACTCTGTGTAGAGCACAATGCTAGATGCTGGAAGAGATAGAGACCTTATATAAAACATGGTTACTCTCTGCAGGACTATTTTTACCTTTATTTGTATCTCTACGTGCCACAGACTGGGGCAGCTAGGTGGCACAATGGATGGAGTTCCAAGCCTGAAGTTAGGAAGCTTCATCTTTATGAGTTCAGATCTGGCCTCAGACACTAACTGTGTGACCCTGGGTGAGTCCATCCTGCTTTCCTCAGTTTCTCTATCTGTAAAATGAGCTGAAGAAGGAAATGGGCAAACCACTCCAGTATCTTTGCCAAGAAAATCCCAAATGGGGACATGAAGAGTCAGACACAACTGAAATGACTCAACAACCACAACAAAAAGGGCATAATACATGAACATATGTGACTATGATGTGAATGTTAAATAATAAATGTAAGAGAGATGTGAAACTATCTTCTATGTGAGGTCCAAGGGATAAGATTGTTACAGTCCTGAGGATTTTGGGAAATCTAATTCTATGACACAATCTTCCCCTCTCTCTAACAGCAAAACTAAGACATGTACAGAAACTCACTCCAAATCAATCCACAGACTCAGATTCATAACCATGCATCATCGGGCAGTGAAACGCAAATCAAGCGCTGATGGGCATGATCCATCTCAGTCATGATAACCCATTAGTTATTTCTCAAGACATTATATCTGGTCTCCCATGACTTTTAGTGGCCATGACCATATTATAAGGTTGACTGGTATTTGACCAGAACACTGGCTTGAATGTGTCATTCCCTTGCTCATAAATCTTCAATGGGTCCCTCTTGCTGATAGGAACACAAGCCTTAAGGCCTTTCACAATCAGATGCCATCTTATTATTCAGCCTTAATTCAAATTATCTTCCCCAATCATTCTATGTTATAATCAAACTATATTACTCACTCTGAGTCCTAATCTTGTTCTGCTTTCGCCAGAATTCCTCAGTCCAGGGCATGCAGGACTTTATCATCACCACTATTTAGAATTTCCTTCTTTCTTCAGAGTTTCCTCAAGGTTCATATCAGGTACCATTTCCTCCTTAAAGCCTTCCTTCATTCCTCCAGTGGAAAATGTTTTCACCCTCAGTTTTTTCAGGTGCATTTTTTCTGTCTCTTTTGGTCCCATGACACCTTATGCTGTATTAAACTTCTCTTTGTACACCCTATATCCTCCTAATGGCTATCAACTCCTTGAGAGCAGTGAATGTACCATTTCAGATCTTCATATTCCCAGTACCTAGAGCATTGCCTTGCACATAATACACACTTTATAAAGGTTTGTTGAACATCAAGCTAAAGTTTTGCCAAACTCAGGCTTCTTCCCATGATCAGGGAGGTGAAGTGATTAAAAAAAGAAGAATGATTTTCTCTGTCTTGGGATTTGCTGCCAATTAGTCAGCAATTAGCGATTCACATTTAATAAACATGCCAGAGAGCTCATGCCTCATCTCACTTACTTTAGCCAAGGTCAGCAGATGGAAAACATTGTACAATATCCATGATTACAGTGAAAAGGAGACCCATAAAGCCATGAAAACCAGAATAACCCTCTAGAGAAATTGCATGACTGAAAGCTCAAGAATAAAAAAAATGCATTATCCTCCAGATTCTGTAATAGAGATGGCCTAGTGACAGGACACGAATGTTCTTAAAGCATCTTTCAAAACACATAAGAGTTGCTGGTAGAAATAAAAGTCATTGAATTGCTCACAAAATGGATAACTATTGCCTCCCAAATTCCCTACTTACTAAAATGATCAGAACGAACTGACCCATAGAAATCTGTTCTTTAAAAACAACTTACAAAAGTTAAAAAATCTCAAAGTTCTAAAGTTAGTATTTTAGGTGATTTGTTAGATTCCATTCATCTCTATTCCACAAATATTTATTAGTTGCCTACTGCATACAGAGACATGTTGGGTGCCAGGGAAGATGCAAAGTTTATATAGGATGCTCCCATGGAATTCACAGTCTAGCAAAAGTTGCAAGACACTCACTTATGTATTTTTTGTTAAGGTAGTTACAATAAGGATCTTTGTCCTCTTTGTGGGTCGAGACCCTCACAGACCCTTCACGACCACCTACATTCCTCTAAAATCAGTGCACAGACCTTTAGTAATACCTTGTCTCCAAGTAGCTCATTTCTCTAAGGGAACTCAAGTAAGTTCCATGTTCCTGTTTCAGATTTGTTTGGGAGAGTTATATCATAAAACTAAATTGTAGCTCAGTAATCCCCAGGTAGATCTTTTAAAATCCGAATCCAGAACTGGCCTATTATAGATAGTCTATAAAATGCAAAGCTACTAGAATATATCCCTAGCTTGCTCTTGGGCCATGTCTAGAAACATAAATGCAAATTTATACAAAGCTATGTCTTGGCAGACCATACTTTTATAAAGAGACAAAGTAAAATTAGCATTAAGCAAATTGCTTGGTACATCATAAGAAAAGAACCCTTAAATAACTGCTTGATGACATATAAGTGAAAGGAGAAGAGAGGAAGATAGAGACAACTTACCGTATTAGACTGGATCTTTAGCCACACAGGCAAATTGCCATGTTTAATCAGATCTATATTCTTCTCTAGTAACCCCGCCATTGTTTTTATGTTTTCATTATAGGCCTAGGAGGAGAAACCTCACCTCAACAACTGCCCCTTTTAATACAAGACTGCTCTGATCTTCATCTCCACTGCTGTCACCACTCAGGGAAGGGCAGTAGCACTGCCCTTGACTCAGTCCAATTGCCCTGCCCCAGACACAAGAGCGAAGCAATTTCCTTCCCTCTCTCCATCTCCCTTCTTTCCTCTTTTTTCTTTTCACAGGTTAAATCCAAGACCTGGCATTCTGTTTATAGTGTGTGGTATTTGTTTGGCCAATGAGATGAGTAAAATCTTCAAATCCCAGAAGTCTATGAAGGTCCAAGCCACTCCTCTTACCTTTGAGGAGCAGAATCTGTTCTACCCTTCAAGTAGAGGTAGACTGTAAACAAGTAGACTGTTTATAAGTACAGTAGGAGCAGAGTGCTATATGAAGTTAGACAATATTGAAGATTCCTTTGTGAAGTAAAAACAAGTCCCTTGAATTAATAATTAACTCTCCAAGAGAGGCAGCAATAGCATAGTATGAAAGATGCTAATTCGTGACCCCAGATGGTCATATCACTTCAGGGAGTCCAGGAAGAAAGACTCAGAGAGGAATCCAAATTCTGATGAGACATTTAGAATGTGTATGGGACTGAAGTAGAAGAAACTATGAGAAACTATATGGTTGAGAAAGTTTAAGTATTGTCAGGGACTATTGCCACAAAGGCCTGGGCCTCCAGAAGCGAGGCTGCATGGGCCACTGGGGGGATGAGGAAAGCCAAAACAGGTACTATACTGTTTTAAACTCTTCCCTCAACTACCAACACTAAGGTGATAATTCTGGACCTCCTTTCTTCCCTTGATGGGAACCTGAAGCCTTTTCCTCTGAGAATGAAATGACTCTATCTTCCTCTGTTTTAATAAATATTTAGTAAACATTAAATAAATATGTATTTATTATTAAATAAGTATTTTGTTAAATATTAGTAGTAGTAGTTTTGAATTAAATAAAGAACCCTGCTCACTACTCCCAGTCCTCCTGCTGCTACCATGATCCTATCACTGTCACCATCTATCTGCTGTTTTCTAATGTGCAATCCTTACAACATCCTTGGGACATAGGAAGGAAAAGTACAATTTTGCCCATTTTATAGATGGGGAAACCAAGGCTCTAAGAGGTTAAGTGACTTCTTATTAAGTGTCAGAATTAGGATACAAAGTTGGTTCATCTGAGTTCAAGTTCAACATTTCATAATGAAAGAGGCTTTAGAGGTGTTCTAGTCTAACCCCCTCTTTTTGCAGGTGAGGCATGTGACTGCTTAAGGCCATATAACTAGTCAGTGGAAGTACCAGGTATTTAAGAGTTAGGTTCTCTGATTCCGAAGGCAGCACTTTTTCCCCTGGACCACACTTCCTCTCCAGTACTATATACATCATACGGCATACAGGATAGATCTGCCTAACCCTGAAAATAAAGCATATGAATCTGCACATATTTTAATGACTATTCTCTAGAAAGGTCGGGCTTTCATTTACTTGTCAATATAGTGTTTGATGGGAGAATGAGGGAAGGTGATTGCTGAATGTGAGGAAAGAGTAGAGAAGTGATTTCTCAAATTGGAAAGATAAGCAAGGTGTGAGCTCAATTTCAATGTCAGAAAATAGTTTTTAGGTTCTATGTGACCAGTCATAGTTAGTGACTTATTTAAAAAAAAAAAACAACACATGATATTATCCAGGCTTCGAAGGGTTAATGGGAAGAATCTAATTCTGCAAGTGTCATTTAACATTTCTACATGGAACATTTTGCCATGATTGAATGACTTCATTTTGTGAATATTATCTGCAAAGATACACTGAGGAAGATCAGTAAAAAATACTGCATTTAAAATGTTCATGTTATTGAAATAAAATGCCAAATCTGTGGTTTTGTTCAGGAAAACATATTAAAAAGTTACATTCCTTCTTCACTAAGCAGTTTTAACTTTTCATAAAATTTTTATGGTCTTTGTTGTTGCAGTAAGCTAGTGCCCTGGCACTTGGTTTTACAGACTGGTTTATGATTATTTTCATTGGTCTTTTTTGCCTATTTTTCTCCCCCAAGGGGGAAAATGCGAATTAGCACTAAGTAAGATATTTGGAGGAGATAAGTATTTATAGGATGATTTTGCAGTAGGACCTAGCCAGGAGGGCCCTGGCTTCTACCTCAGGCTTGCTTTGGAACCAACCTAGAGGAGGTGGCCACACCTTCTTGGACAAGTTTGAGGTAGTTGTCCAGTCTACAGTGGTCTTTTGTCTTTGACCTGCCCATGAGATGTGGAGAATGGCCAATGTAAGCTATGATGATGTGGATTCATCGGTAGATCATTTGGATAGACCTGACTGTTACCCAGTTGTTAAACCTGGCTTCTGATTCCTTGTCCATGGCCTGTCTATGTGACTGCATTAACTCTTAATATTAATCCATTCTATGCGTAATAAAATAAATGATTCTTTGATGCACCTTGGTGTACTAAAAGGGAAACTGGCCTGTGGTCACAGAAACCTACTTGAATGCCAAGGTTAAACTTTGACAATGGATGGTGCCATTTTCTACTATTAACACCAATAAATAGATCTCAGCTATGCAAGTTGGCACCTTCTTTGTAGCTTATGGCATTAAATAGTTGTCTTGAGCATTGAGAGATTAAATGACCTTCCTAGGATCATATAGCCAGCTTCTGTCAGAGGCAGAATTTGAACACTGGTTTTCCTGACTTTGAGACCATCTCTCTATCCACTGTATTGCATTACCTCGCTTGCCACATACTAGCCTAAGAGTTTGCTAATACAATAATAATCTTTTTAAAATATCATGGTACCAATGGGAAAATGAAGGAAGGTGATTTTCTCCTTTCACCTTCTTTTTGCCCTTCCTACCAATTCACAGACTTCTTATTAAAACTTTCAGCATTTTGTTTCATTTGTTAAATCTGTACATTTTTTTCTTTTTCAGCCTTATTTTCTTTCTGTGTATGTGAGAGGGTTGGGCTAGGTGATTACTAAGGACTTCTCTAAAATTTTACTATTTTGTGATTTTAAGATATAATTTATTCTTCACATTGTTATATCAACCTTCTGGTTGTTTTATTTTAATGTGGTTTTTATATGATTACTAGTATACATTTGATTTGGGAAGGAATCTTCCTAGCTTACATTTAAAAGCGATTTATGAATCACTGAGTATTTATGAAGTAATTTATGAAGTACTGAGCGAGTAATAACAAATATCTGTTATGCTTTTCAATGCTGCACAGGGCATCCCGATGTTTTAAGCATAAATATATGACGAGACACAGAGAATAAAGCAGTGTTTTTCAGATTTCATGGGATCTGTTCCATCATCCCTACCATATTTGGATTCCTTCCAATCTTCACTGTCACATTTGAGCCTACTTTTGTTCAATGAATCACTTGAAGACCAGAAAGAAACTTCAAAGCCTTTAAATGTGGCCAAAGGGAAATTGACTCCTCCATGGCAGGAGTCCAGTTGGTGACCACAAGAGCTCAGCACACCACCACTATCTAGAGTCTCCTGTTGGTATGTGGAATGATCCAAAATGGTGGTGTCTCTTGATATTACAACACATACATTTGGAAGAATGTGACTTTTAACTCAGTACTCTACAGGAGGTTTATTTCTAAGTTAGATGTATGCGCCAAAGGAAAAGGCTCAAAGGCTACATTGGTTTCAAATATTGGTTTTGCTGTATAGAAGAAAAATAAAATGATTTATGAGTTTGTCAGTGAAAGGATGTTGTCTTCTTATAAAAACCTCCTGTTCCAGCTAGGAAGTGTCATGAATTGCAAATGAACCATGGGGGGAAATGCACACACACACATATATAGACTCATCATCCCTTCTTGTTGCCTCAGGGATTTGGAAACAAATTCCACTGGTGTGCCTTCACCGATGCTCTGGAGGAAATAGTAATTGCAATGCACAACAGTCTTCTCCAAAAAAAAAAAATACCAATCTGTGTTCCATTAAAGTCAGTGAATAGTTAAACGCTAATTTATTTTTATTTTTTATCCCCAACTTTAATAAAAAACAGACCCCAATTCAATCAGATGCCCCAGAAGTCAGATAATTCCACATAGTCCTTTCCAGTTTAGAGGAAATAGATTGTAATGGTGTCCCAGGGCATATCAGCAGGAGGTCAACTTAACTTATGGTTCATCTTCCTCTCTGTGGCTTGGACAGAGTCAACATGGAAATCCTGAAACTAATAGATTTCCTCACTGCTGTTTTAAACTTGCCTGCCAACTACTCAGTATATTTTACCAATATAACATTTTGAGAAGTTAAATGGTCTCTCATAAATGATAGCTGTAGATTCTAATTGGAAAACAGAACTAAAATGCAATATTTCCAGAATATAGGTGTGTGATCTCAGCTTGCTTTGAGAGCCTAACATAAATACTGGCGATTTAGTTCATGGGATTCCAAGAGCCATTTATGCATTATGTATTTTATCAAATCTTTTTTCTTTGAAATGTCATATTCCTGGATTACAAGCCTATTTATCCTAACTTGCTTACATTTAAGATATATTTCAAACCATAAGAAATGGTGCCTTTAAAAAGTAGCATCATAGGATTATAGGTTGCAAATTTAGGTCCAAAAGAGACCTTAGAGGTCATAAAATCCAGTCTCTTTGTTTTACAGAAAAAGCAATGGAGGGAGAAAGGTTATTATCATTACTTTCTACTTTTGTGACCTTATGCTTGACACTTCCATTCCCTAGATTCCATTTATTCCTCTGTAAAATAAGTGGGTTGGATTAGTTAAATTCTAAGTATCATAAATTTAGAACTGGGAGGGTTGTCATGGGTTATTTCAAACTCATCTAAACCCATCATTTTACAGATGAAGAGACTGCGGCAGAAAGGCACACATATAGGAAAGTGTCAGAGTAGGTATTGAACTGAATTTGTAATGCAGCCTCTGAAGCTGATATGCAATAAAGTATGGGTCAGTTCTCTGCTGCTTGTGCTCATTTTGGCCTAATGATTAACACCAAGAAAACACAGGTGCTCCATCAGCCAACACCACATCATCCATACATGGAACCATTGGTAACAGCAAATGGAGAAGTTCTGAATGCTGTAGATAAGTTCATTTACCTGTGGATAAGTACTTTCCGGGGATGTGCACATTGATAATGAGGTTGATATACACATTGATGGAGTTAGCTTAGTGTTTGAGAAACTCTGAAGGAAAGTGTAGGAGACAAGAAATATCAGACTGCATCAAACTGAAGGTCTACAGAGCTGTTGTGCTGACCCTATTGTTGTATGCCTGTAAAACCTGGACAGTATACCAGCACCATACCAGGAAACTGAATCACTTCCATTTGAATTGTCTTAAGAAGATTCTGAAGATCACCTGGCAGGATAAGATACCAGACACTGAAATCCTTTCTTGAACTAAACTGCCAAGCATTCAAACTCTGCTTCAAAGAGCACAACTCCGATGGGCTGGCCACATTGTTCAAATGCAAAATGTGTGCTTGCCAGAAAGACCATTTTATGGAGAATTCACACAGGGCAAGCGTTCACATGGTGGTCAGAAGAAGCGATACAATGACATTGTCAAGGTCTCGTAAGAACTTTGGAATTGATTGTGTGACATGGGAGACACAGGCACAGGACCACCTAGCATCAGAAAAGATGCTGTGCGCTTTGAGCAAAGCAGAATTGAAGCAGCTCAAAAGAAATGGGAGGTGCACAAATTTAGAGAATCCACACCAAAGATTCACATGTACTATTTGTGCCTGACCTGTGGTAGAGCCTTCTGAGCTGGTGTTGGTCTGATCAGCCACAGTCAGGCACACTGTAACTTGACTCTGG